TGTGGAAATTCGTATGATTCGTTGTTTTCTAGTGACAAATTTTCTTTACCCTCCCCCTTCCTTTTTCATTATAGGGATTGAATCCACCTTACTCAAAAGATTAACAGGGAGAACCATACTGCCACATAAACAAAAGAAAATGACCAATTATTCACTAACTTTATTGTGATGTGTTCATAGAAATCACTATGGTAGCATTTGTAGCTAATTTCACGAAATTTACAAGAATAGTATAAATGATAATTTCATGTCAACGTATTCAACAATTATAACCACAGAGACAAACATAATACTTCATCAGAATACTTCCAACTTGTTCAATTCAACAGACTACTTCATCCTATTTAGGGGACTTTCTTGTTAGGGGACAATTCATTAGAATACTTCATCGTATTTAGGGGACTTTGTTGTTAATCCCCCCAAAAAATACGTTGTAATTTTTTGTTTTACAACACATAATATGTTCAAATTGGCAACGCTTGATACACACGCGCACACACACACACACACACACACACACACACACACACACACACACATAGCGACAAAGACAAACAGAGAGCGAGATGAAGAGAGAGCAGACTATTGACATATACAAAAACCAGAGCATAGAAGTCATGGTTATGAGATCCACACACCCCACCAACAGACAACCTGCAATATTGCTAAACTGCTCTCGGTAGGTGAAAGAAAGCCCTGAAACCTCCAACATAGTACATATGTGAGTTTTTACAAAAATTTACCCAACTCGAATGTTGAAGGCAAATTGAAAAACGACAATGGTCAAACAGAGCGACAGATACACACATACACATACACAGAGCGCGCATGCAGGCGCGAGAGAGAGAGAGAGACAGAAAAAGAGAGAGAGTTCATACATACATACAAACCAAACAGAGCATACGACGTTTGGAAACATAACGAAATAGAAACAAGAGAGGCTGAAGAGAGAGAGACAGAGAGCGAGAGAGACAGAGAGCGAGAGCATACCTGCAGTTGGGGGGATCATCGGAGGAGGGACTGCTTTTCCATTCGCCTTGGCGGACTATCGTCGTCTCTTGGTTCCTCTTTTTCTTCAGATCAGAGCTTCTACTATGATCTAATCTTGAACGAAGGGCCTCTTCATCTTCACTGTTTGATGTAGCTGAACAGCCGTAGGTACTACAACCTGTGTGAGAATAGCTCTGTAGATATTCCCATCAATGTTTGACATAAAGCCAAGGGTGAAAATGAGATAAACAAAATGAAAGAGGGACAAAACGGTCATTTTACACTACAGCTGGCAGCCTTCACGTGCAGCTACTGTACATAGGTTTTTAGGGTGACTTCTTGGCTTTTTTGGTAACTTTTTGGCTTTTTGGCTAAAAGTAAGGGTTCCCAAACGAGGCCTAATGATGGCGTTTTTCTTGATCAGTCGCATTATATTGAGAAAATTTTACAAAAATATAATTTTCTAGATTGCAAACATGTTGATACTCCTTTTGATACAAGAATACATTTATTTGTTGTAATAAATGAAAAAGAAGTGATTAATCAAAAGGAATATGCTAGCATGATTGGTAGTTTGAGATATGCTACTGACTGTACTAGACCTGACATTGCATATGCTGTTGGAGTACTTAGCAGGTTTACTAGCAAAGCAAGTCAAGTTCATTGGCTAGCCATGGGAAGAATTATGAGATATTTATCTGATACAAAAAATTATGGTTTGTTTTATAACAAATATCCTGTGGTACTTGAGAGATATAGTGATACCGATTGGAACACTTTGTCAGGTGATTCTCTCTCTACTTCGGGTTTTATTTTTACCTTGGGTGGTGGTGCTATATGTTGGAAGTCTAAAAAACATACTATAATTGCTAATTCTACAATGGAAGCTGAGCTTATAACATTAACTTCAGTATGTGAGGAAGCAAATTGGTTGAGAGATTTGTTACATGAAATCCCTTTTTGGAAAAAACTAATTCCTCTTGTGTTAATTCGTTGTGATAGCATTGCTGCTATTGGTAGAGTGAACAACCATTTTTTTAATGGTAAATCTAGACCTATTTGAAGGAAACACAGTAATGTGAGATCCTATTTGAGTAATGACATCATAACTGTGAATTACGTAAGATCTTGTAATAATCTTGTGGATCCGTTAACCAAGGCCTTGGTGAAAGATAAGGTCTGGAATACATCAAGGGGGATGGGTTTGAAGCTTATAAAATCATAAACCATGTACGAGAATACCCAACCTAGGGACCAGAGATCCTGTAACTAGGTTCAATGGGAAGAACGAATCATATGGTGGTTGTAAAAAATGCACTCTTTAATATTTTGTTATCTATCCCTATGATGTAAGTGCATTTGTCCTGTAATGTTGGAGGGTTGAGTTTTTATACTCTTAATGAAATTCTGTAACTCTTGTTGAGTGGGGTGTGTAAATTACAAGAACATGCTTGACAGATTTCACCTATGTGAGCATGAAAGTGGGCCGCTTTTTATGAGAACAAGGCTTATTCTCAAATATGCTCATGAAAACTAAGATAAGCACAAGGCCGCAATGTGCTGGCTATTAAAGCTCATGTCAACACCTGGACTATTATGTGTAAGCAGTAATACTTTATTTTTCCTAAGCAATCATAGTTCAAGTCTGAGACCACTACTGACTCTGGAGTAGAGGTTGCTATTTCACTAATGAATGTTCAATGCAGAGCACATCTCCGTGATGCATACTAGTCTATCTTTGTTTGGTAATCTCTCTTATCCTTGTTGATATTAAAATGAGTGGGGGATTGTTGGACCATTTTAATATCTTTTATTTATTTATTTATTTATATTGTTCATGAATCTTCTTTTGTCTTATTCATGAATTTCATCTTGTTCATGAATGGAGATTCATTGCTTTGGTGATTTTTTGTCTTGTTCATGGATGGAGTTTAATTAGAATTCATGAACTTGTTAGTAAGTTAATTTTTGGTTCACTCTCTTTTTTCTCTAGGTTCATGATAGTTATTGTTTTTTGATGTATTTTGTAATGTCTTAGTGGCCTATAAATAGTTCCTCTCTCCTACTCTTTTCTATAACCAACACACCAACTATTTTCTATACAAGAGAGGTTACTAGCAAAGAAATGTGTTTTTCTTGGTGGAGATTTGGGTTCACCATCTTGTGCAGAGTTGGCTTGAACCATACAACAAGTAGTCGGGCTGCTGTATCCTGGAGGGAACAAGTCATAATTTTGTGACTACTGCATCGGTATTTGGGTTCTTCCTACCGCAGTGGGCTTGATCTCCGTAAAGAAACGAGATATTCGTGCCTCAACCTGATCTATTTGTATCTCCTTTTTTTTGCATTATTTATCAATAAAATATATTTTTTCTGATATTTTCACTAACATATCTTAATCCATCTTATTTTTCTAACTTCTTTATTTTTTATAAAGTAAGCGATAGATTCATCATAAGGCCTTAACAAAAGGGCAATGGTAGAGGGCCACAATTTTTGTGGCTCAAATGGCTCAAAACTGCCAAAACGACGTCGTTTTGAGCACAAAACATGCCAAAACGACGTCGTTTTGATAGTTTTGAGCCATTTGAGCTACACAAATTGTGGCTCTCAAACATTATTCTTAACAAAAAACGTACTTCTCTCTATACAACAAGGCTCCAAAAATCAATTTCGATAAATTATCGTTTCTATTAGGAGTGTGCGTGGTGTAGTTCGGATGGTTTAAGAGTAAGATTACAAATTGAATGACGGATTGGCGGATTAGAGGATTGACAAATAACGATTTGAGTGATTTTTGACGGATTGAAAAATATTCTAACTAATTATCATACATTTACATAATATATAACACTAATTTGTATAATATTTTTTATATATACAACACAAAGTAATTTTACATAATATGTTTCATATATATAACTACTAATTTGTAATAAATTTCATATCTTAAGGTTTCGTTTGGGAACAGGCTAATTTAGTAACTTTTTGACTATTTGGCTAAAATATGAGCAAAAAAAAATTAGTATATATGGGATGACTTTTTAGCTTTTTACGAAAAGATGTGCAAAAATAGAGAGAAAATAAAATATTTGACTTTTTAGTATTGGTTGTTGACTTTTTGGCTAATTTAGTAATTTTTTGACTTTTTAACTAAACGGGAGGGTTCCCAAACGAGACCAAATCTCTCTTACGCTTATTTTTATTTTGATATTTCATTAAAGATTAAAGAATATATATGTATTAATTATAGTGGAGCGAAACGAAGCGATTTGAAAAACAGATTATAAATTTTAAAATTTAAATCACAATTAATAATTAAAACAATACGAATTAATACAAATCGATATAATTTCAACGAATTAAACAATATTTTACACAGATTTAGTTTCATTTGATATTCTTACTGTATTAGTTCTCTTTTCAAGGTGTGTGCATATTGTTTTCCTTTTTATGTCATAACTCTTGCTTTGGTCATGTGTTGTAATACAGCGAGACTTGATCTTAAAGGGCATCGTCTTTATATTGCATCTAGAAGGATGATAGGACAATTTTCCTCTCTGTCAGTGTATATATAACGTATCTAGATGAATGATGAGTAATTTTTTTCTCTTTGCCAGTGTATTTACAACTATGAATGAGATAATAGAGATAAGGGCAAATCAAGCATTAAAATTTTTTAAAAATAAAATAAAATAAAATAAATCTATGCTTCAAAAAAAAAATAAAAAAAATAAAAAAAATTCATGACCTTAATTCCAAAGTGCTTTAAACTAGAACTCTAACTCATGTAAACTTTTATTGAAACTTATTTAAACAAAACAAAATCAAGACGTGACTTAAAATGTAATATTTCTAAAATTAATTTTTTTGTATAACAATTTTGAAGACTTTTAATTTTTTAATTTTATAAAATTGTCCAATTGCGTGACAGCAAAAATCTGAGGCCCAGCTGCCAAGGAGGGGATTGGCTGGACGCATGGTCCAGCAAGGTGCACGCCCTGCGTAAATAGCCCTTGAAATTTCCAACTGCCCCCACACCACACCGGTCCAGACCACACCAACACTCTCTCTCTCTCTCTACCCAAACCACACCCAAGAAACTAGAGAGAGAGAGAGAGAGAGATTCAAAGCAGGATTGATTGAGGTAGATTCGAACTCTTTGAGGTAAATTCGAAGTCTTTCTATTCAATTCCATCAGTTACTGAGATTTTTCTTCAAAACAATTATTCTATGTTCTTTGTTGCAAAAACATTTTGTTATGCGAAATCAATTTCTGGGTTCTTGTTTAATCTTGTGTTTCCATTGTGTTTCTTTGTCTATGTTATCTTTGCAACGATAAAAGTGGTGATTTTTGGGGAACAGAGGAGAGAAACAGAGAGACAGAGAGAGAGAAGATTATATGTCGTCTGGTGTTGTTGGTGCTGATCTGTTGATTGGAAGATCAAAGCAGCTCTGGCTCTTTTCTCAATCTCTGTTAATCTCAACCCTCTTCTTCTGTTGCTGTGCTCATTAGAGGCCAAACCAGAGTTCTCCATATTCTTCCATGCGTTTAAGATCAAGAAGGTATGTTTCTTTATATTTGATTTTCTCATATATATATATATATGATTTTGTAATATGGGTTTTGATGGGTGATGGGTTTTGGGTTTTGGTTTTTTTGGTTTTTTGTTTTTTGGTTTTTTGTTTATGTATGCAGGGCTTGTTCTGGCGTGGAGTGCTTTGGGAGTTTTCATACAAAACACTTCTTCTATTCAATCTTGAGTACTAGGGTTTTGGGTTTATCTCAGGACTGAGGATTTTCAAAGATTTTCAAAGATTTCCCAACTTTTCTTGTTATTGGCGTGTTGGGGGTTTAGGGTTTTCTATTGATTTAATTTATATCTCAAAGAAGAGATGCCAGGGCTTCAAAGGCAGTTTTTGAATCAAAACATGATCATTAAGAAAATGAAAAAAGAGAAGACAGGCAAAGATGATTATACGAAACCAATGATCATTAAGAAAGTGAAGAAGGAGAAAACAGGCAACGATGATTGTATGAAACCGGTTAGAAGAGTTCGAGTTGTTTACAATGATCCCTATGCCACCGATTCTGGGAGCGATTACGATGACAACTCAATTTATGATAATAACCATGGATTTACGAGAGTTAAGCGTGTTGTTATGGAGATTGTTCTTCCAAAGGTACCAAACGAGTCCTCTACAGAAAATTCTCCAATAGGGGCAGTTGCTAGTAAGGTTTGCGAAAATCAGAAGATGCAACGATCGTCATCGATGTATAAAGGAGTGAGGAGAAGGAAATGGGGAAAATATGCTGCGGAGATTCGAGACCCAATTCAGGGGAAAAGGGTTTGGCTTGGTACTTACAACACTGCGGAAGAGGCTGCCAATGCTTATGAGAGAAAGAAACTTGAATTTGAAAAGGTACTTGAGTCGTTGGAGAGTGCTAAGAACTTGAATTTGAATATGGCTTTGATTGTTGACAACCACCACTGTGCTTCGGAGGAGGAGACTAGTGGTTTGTTTTCTCTTTCATCTCCATCCTCTGTCCTTGATGTCTCTCCGACATCTATTGTCAATGGCCTTGACAATTCTATCAAAGAAGAATGCAATTCCATAAAAATTGTGGAAGAAGAGCAACCCACTTTGGCAATCTTGGATGATCAATTTGTGTCACCCCCAATTTGTCTAGAACCTGAATCAGGTTTTGAGAACAACTTGCAACCAATTAGTGATTTGGAACAACCACCCATTTCGGAATTGTTGGAAGATCCATCAATTTCGCCCTCGGTGAGTAGAGAGCTCAGTTTGGGCTACGAGAACAATTCAGTATATGGCACTAATGATAAGGGGCAGTTTTTCAACGGCCTAGATGATTTCGACATGGACTTTCCATTGTTCGAGTTTCATAATGAAGAGAGAAATGATCTTACCGACTTTGATTTTAAGTTAGGCAAAGAAGAGCTTGCTTGGCTTGATGAAGCCCTGAATATAGCCTGCCCATAAATTTTGCAGCTAGGATCTGCTACATTAAGATTAGTTTTAACATCTTGAAAAATAAAAAATAAGTTGTTGAGTGGCAACAATTGTCAATGTGAGTGATTTTCTTGTTTTGGAGAGTAAAATGAGAGATTTTCTTGGGCTTTTCTCTGTGCTGTGCCTTTAGAGCCGTCCAAGATATTTTTGGCATCTCTCTAATAAAGATGAGTAATTGTTCATATTCACAAGTGAAGTTCTCTGTTCTGGTTGCATTTGCTTTCTTCTATTGCCAACTATTACATATTTTTAGTTCAGATTCTGAATTTTTTCGGCTTTGGGTTCCAATCTTGTTTGTTTTCTGAAGCACTTTTGATGTGGCCAATTTGATTCTATGTGGAGAGCTTTGAAGATGAGCATCTTTTGTTGTTTTTTTTTTTTTTTCTTTTTTTTGTTTTTTTGACTTTTTAGCTTTGGAATGATGGTTTTGTTTTTTTTTTTTTTCTTTTTTTGTTTTGTATTCTTGTATAGACCTTTTGGTAATGGTGATGATAGAAGATGAGATACGCATGAACAAGAACAGATTTCTAGTTTGCAGACGAAAAGAGAAAAGCAGAAAGTGCAAGATTAAAAATCTTTTTCGGAGCTTTGGTTCGGTCCTGTGGGAGTGTAAATCATTCACCAAAATAATTAAATTAATTTGATAATGATAGTTTTATGATTTTATAACATTTGCAAAATAATAATAATAATTATTATTTTTTTAATTTTTTTTTTTTTTTAAAGACATCAAATGAAAATTTGAAACTACAATCATGAGAACAATTTGATTTATTTTTGGAATGATCTTGCGTCGTAACTCAAAATTGTCTACAAAAGTATGCTATTTGGTTTGTCATAATTACAACCATGAGATATTATATAATTACTCAGGCGTCTCTCTAATTGAATTGGAATAATTAGCATTGGAGTATGTTGTTCAACTCTGTGGGTCCATTACATGACTCATATCAATAATTTGAATTATGATTTTTTATTGATAAATTTTATTTAGAAGTGTTCTATTCTAATAAGTCTACAAAGGAAAATTATAGCCTTATTAGTCTTATATATTTAAACTTTTATTCTATAAAGTCTTTTTTTTTCTGATTTATATTTTTTGTTGGACTATTATACTCTTATGTCTATATATTGATATATATTATATACAAAAATAATATACATGTTTCCTTCTGTTTTTCTTGTGGTAGGGTTTCGTTCCTATGAGAGAGAAGACGACGACACAGAGTTCGTGGTAATGTTTCGTTGCGATAGGGTTTCATTTATGCAGGAGAGAAGATGACGATTCAGAGTTTGTGGTTTTTTTTTCTTTTTTTGTCATAGTTATGATTTCAGCTGGAAATCAAAGGAACAGAGGTAATGGCTTACAAACTAGTTCAGTAGGTTGATTGAAACCCACATTCGATTGGATTAAATCAAAGGGAAAGATGTGATGGATTTGAATCACGACTATTTTTGTATCCAGTCTATGTTGTTATATATATATATATATTTTTTTTTTCTAACTTTATTTTTTGGAATTGATGGACATGCAAATTTTATTTAGTTGAATGGGGTTATAGGTTTTGGCTGATTATTTGAATGTGGTGAATATTCACATCGCAGGAAGAATGTGAATGTATATGAAGGATTGTATGCTCTGTTTCTTGCTTTTAACATTATTATCTAGATTAAATTTTGGTTGGTTGGTTGGTTGTATGCGGTTGTTGGTTTTGGCTGGTCATGTATTTGAGTTTTGATTTAAATTTTTGAATGTGGTGAATATTTACATCGCATGAACAATGTGAATATTCATAAAGTGTTCGATTTTGGGATTAGCTGTGCAAAATATAGACTTGGCTATTTTTTTTGTGTGATGTGATCAGTGTTAATATTCACATTAATTTGAATTAAAAATTTGTCATTGTGTTATCAATTGGTGTTAATATTATTCACACACCAATATAATATTGAATGGTGAATATGTTTTCACTGTGTTCATTACCATTGTGACAAGGTGATGTTAAGGTTCATATCAGCATTGTATCAACTTACACAAAGACAAACCTCAGCTTTCATTTTGAATACAAATATGATGTGAATATTCACAATAAAACATATGAATGTGAAGGCTCACACGAATTCTGGAATATAGATGAAGACACTATGGTTTCAAAGTGTTAATTACTAATATGGAATGGTGATATTAAAGTTCACATCAAAATTGCATTGTTCACAAATTACATTAAGCCAATGATTATGTGTATACAATTGTAAAGCAACTGACAACAATGTAAAGGTTTACATTGATTTTTTAATCTCTAAAAATATGACTACATCAACATTGTATTAACAACAAACCATCATTTTTGTGTGTGCACAAACATGAAGTGTATGTTTATACACAATCAAATTATTGATGTGAATGTTAACATCATAAATAAAACATAGCATCTTGGTGGCTACTCTTCCTTATTCAACTACCAGCACAGAAAGGCAGGTTACTACTACAGCTTACGGCTTATAGAAACGACTTCCTTACTCGCTTAAGTCAATCATTTCTTAGTCACATTAAACCAATGGTTATGTGTACATAATTATAAAATAACATAAACTAATATGAATATTAACATTGATTTTCTAGTGGCAATATTATGACAACATACCATTGTATCTTATTAAGCACAATCAAAATAACTAATTATGATTCTTTTATCCAATGTATTCTAATATTTTCAAAATCACAAAAGATGTAGAATTCATATTCATATTTTTCTCGCCGATGTAAAATGTGTTTTTGGATGCCTTGTATGTCTTTAGCACGCATATGATGACATCATTGAACTTCATGCATTTGTCGAGGTCAACTTTACCGATCCTCAACACATTAAACAACTGCCAAAATGGCGTTTCCTTCAAACAATCCAGCTGAGGATCTGAGAACTTGGTACTCATCATTAGTTTCACTAACCAAATGATGTTAGATCGGTAGTTAACCTTTTTCACATTCACTTTTCAGGGGCCTGGCTATTTGTTCAAGTTTGTCTTTGATGTGGAACTGTTCTCTTTTTATTTTGCCATGAAATCTATGAGCAACATCTGTTTGTTCAATTAGAAACAAATTTACTATTGATGGTCACAAATGGTAAATGATAACAAGTACAAACTATATGTACTGTGAATAGTGGAATGATGTGACCATGGTTGTATTAAGCAAAACCATGATATGAATATTCACATGAACACAGTACAACATAGGATAAAACAATAAAAGTCAATACATGGTGTGAACATTCACATTGATCAAATACATGGTGTGAACATTCAACAAATCAACTAAGTCTGCTATTTCCTACAATGAAAACACTAATGTGAACATTTAAAATATGAGCACAAGCGTAAACATTCACATCTTTGGGCACTGATGTGAATGTTCGCATCTATGGACAATGATGTAAACATTCACATCTTAAAAAGGGTTGAATGGAATAGGAATGGATTATGCATTTGTGTTGGCATTAGCACAACTTTATTTGGCATATATTTCACATCAGTTCATTACAATCAAACGCAAAGAGAAAACACAACAACAATAATATCAAATAGTTGTTTTAGAATTCACATTGAACCAAAAAAGGAGGGAAGGAGTGTGAATATTCATAATAACTACATATTACCAAACACCATGACAATATCACAAATTCATTAACTACAAGCTATAAAGTTTTGCATCATACCCAAACATGATGTGAATATTAAGTTGACAAACATGGACAACATTAAGCGAGAATGGATAATTTGTTAATGGTATTTTTTACATTATATTCACATACACATGTTAATTCACAATGTTAATGTGGAGATTGACATTAACATTGTATCATATTACACAACCAAAAAAACAAGCCTTGTTTTGAATATAAGAATGATGAGAATGTTCACATACGCTTACAAAGTACAAAAACATGACAACATTAGCAATACATTAACCACACACCACAATTTTTGTGGGAATCAAAACATATTGCGAATATTCACATTGGTATAAATGTCAACATCAGAAAACAATAGTTTTATCCACATATCACGTAAGTCCAAGAAATGAGGTTTTTCATAGGTATTAGCTTGATGTAAATCTTCACAATGTAACATATAAATGAATTGGTCCACAACAATCATGTAACAATTTTATGCACGCCATGGTTTCTATGTGAATGTTTACATCATGGAAATAGCAACAAAACAATTATATATATTAAAAAAAAATCTGAAAAAAAGAAAAGAAAAGTTTTAGGGGATTTATATCCATTCAGGGATATCATCAATATCAACAATAACTGCAAGAAAGGAAAAATAACAACAATAATATGAATAGTAAAGACCAAAATCATATCAATATAGCATGCAAATGTGTGGAAGTGCACATTGGGACAAAAAAATAGTTAGGGTTTAGGATTTATATAGAAAATGAGTGAAATCACTTATGTTTGGTACCAGTTATGAGATATGGTCGGATTGTCACAAATAATCATTGTGAAGATTTACAGTAGAAACGAAAGATGAGAATGGTGATTCCGGTAGCCGACAACATAGAGAAGACGATAAAAGAGTTGAGGCGATGAAACAATGAGATGATGAGACGATTTCACAAGTATGGAATATAGGATTTTTGCGAGATTGTTTCCACTTTGTCTGGGAGTGCACTTATATTTTCGGATCCTGTTGATTTGAATGGCAAGAGACATTTAAAAACGTAGCAGGGGTGTTTTGGACAAAAAGTTAGGAATGTGACTTATTGGAATAGTCAAAAATAATTTGGGTTAGATGAAATAAAACACTTAGGAATGAGATTTATAAAAAAAAAACATCCTTTGAATTATTCAATTTGTAAGACTCGTTGAGTACCCACTTCTGTAAAAAAATTACGTTGATCGGATATTGATAGTCACTTAATTAGATTAAATTTTTGTCGATGGTAATTATGATTTTAAAAAAATTCGTGGATACAAATGTATTTTGATCAAGTGACTATTAATATTCGATCAATATGATTTTTATAGGAATGAAATCTTCAACAAGTTTTACCTATTGAATGATTTGAATTATTGATATTTACTTTGTGGTGGGCCCACAAAAATCAACTGTATATTCTAATTGAGAAATCCAATTAAAGAGAAACTTATCCCTTATATAATTTATGTTGGACTCATTTTATTGATAATTGTGATTGGTTCACATGAGACGTGATTATATATATTTTTGTTGTTAGTGAGGCCCT